TGAGACAGGGTCTCACTATGTAGTTGAGACTGACCTGGAACTCACTATGTAGCCCAGGCTGGTCTCCAGGGATCCTCCTGATTCAGCCAAGTGCAGGGATTACAGGCATGTGCCACCACGCCAGGCAAAGATCCTAGAGGCAGCTGTCACTGCGCACCAGCTGGTTTGTTTACTATTTTTTGTTTTGTTTTGTATTTTGGTACCGGGGATTGAATTTCCGAGGCAGGCAGCGGAACCACTGAGCCAAATCCCCGGGCCACCCAGAGCTGTAAATTGAAGCAGCGGTCAGGTCATAGTTTCAGTTTTTCAGACTTGGCACATTAAAACGTACAAAGTCAACTCTCGGGTTTCTTAAGAAAATAAAAAACACTGAGTTCTTATAAATTATGTTGAATGTGCAGATTTCTGGAGTATGTTACAGAGGGAAGAATTGATTTCAGCCTTGGTTGCATTACTAGAGGGCAGTGTGGTGATTGGGTCTCAGATTCTTGAAGCTGTGTTTCTTTATCTTCTGTAGCTGCTTCATACTTTGGTTGTTAATCAAGAAAGACTCATTTTCATTTTGTAAACTGAGAGTAGCATCTTATTTAATCCTCAGGAAACGTGAACAGCATCCCTTAGAAAACTCACTGAAGTTAAGCAGTCCTGATCACAGAACTGGTGTAAATTGAATTTGGGTTTGGATATTTGAATTCATAGCACCCTTTCACTGAGGTTATGTTTGTTTTTACAGTGCACTCCCTTCCACCCCCCCACTTTTTTCCTTATTAAACAGTATCTGGCCAAGTTGCCCAGGCTGAGCTGGAGCTTGCAATACTCTTGCTTCAGCCTTCCAGAATGCTGGGATTACAGGCACGTGCCACCAGACCCAGCTTGCAGTACATTTCTTAACTTTGCCTATGATGACTAATTCAATGCTTCAGTTGTAGACCCATTTTATAAACTGTTACAAATTCTTTTTGTCGTTGTTTGGTGGGGATTATGTTGCTTTTGCTTTTGAGAAAGGGTCTCACTGTGTCACTCAGGCTGGCCTCAAATGCACTGTATAGTCCAGGCTGGCCTTAAGATCACAGTCCTGCCTTAGCCTCTCAAGTAGTGGTAATACATAAATTCTTTTTAACAAGAATTTTTCAGGTGTTCAGTATTTTTTAGTCTCCTTTACCTTTTACCACCACCCCCCATTCTGTTTAAGTCATTAGTTCCTTAAGAGTCCTCATAACTTTTCTCATTCTTGGTTCTTTTTCTTTAGCATTTTCACAGCTGTCTTCTGCAAAATTAAATTTCTTTCTCTTCAGTTGTTGGCCTCTGTATCACTTAACACTCTCACATTTCTCCATTTCTGCTGCTCATAAGTCCCTCAAATCTTGCTTCTTCTGTAAAATGTTTCTTTGGGGATTTTCTGTCCTCACCATAACTCAAGAAGCAAACAAAACAGGCAAGCTATTTATTTCACTTGGTCACTTTTCCTTTAACATACACCTTTTAATTATACCATCATTCTGCTTTTACAGATTTAAAATTGTGATGGTTTTCCCAGTTTCTATGATATTTAGGTAATTGATAAAATTTTGCTTTTTGTGTTTTTTTAATTTATTGTCTTTCAGTCTTTTCTTTCATGGGGATCGAATTCAGGACCTGGGTAATTCTTAGATGTACCCATTTCTTCCTCTGCATCATCCTCCCATTGTGTTACATTGGTCTTCCTTCCCTCCTATTTCACATATGATGTTACTGTCTCAGTAGTCTTCTCAAACCCATCTGTGCAAATGGAGCTGTTCTCATTTTTTTTAATTGGTACATTTTATATATACATAATAATATTCATCATAGGGGACTTGTACATGATGTATCTTGCTGCTGCTTTTTTTCCCCTTTCCCTCCCCTCCCTTCAACCCCTCTTCCCCTCCACTGCTCTCATTCTTGGTTCCTCTAAAATTCCAAAACCTTTAGCAGTTAGTTCCTCTGCTTGCTTATACAAAGAGGGCCACCTGAGTAAGTTATCTTGGTGTACTGTTGTGATTATTACCTATTTTTTCCTTCACTTGCTGTGGTACCTGAAATGCCATCCTTTTTTACTATAGAGCCTTAGTGCAAATCCTATCTCAGTAAAAATAGTAGCTACAGTTAGTTGTCAGAGTGTTTATATTATGTGAGGCACTGTGCTAGGTGTTTTATGTGGATTGTGCCCTTGCATTCTCATGGTCACCCTGTAACATACTGTTATGATCATCATTTTGGACTTGGAGAATTTGTCCAAGATCACACAGCCAATAAGTGGCCAAGGTAGATTTCTGCCTGAGATGATTCCAGACCCAAGCCACTTAGTCGTCATACTTTACTGTCTTCATACACATCCACAATTGTAGCTCACATTTACTACAGGAACAGTTGCACACATTATAAGGATTTTACAGTTTTTAACTCATTTAATTCTTGCAGAACCTTGATGAGGTAGCTACTGTTTTAGGCTCTGTTGTGTATATGAGGAAAGTGAGGCCTGGAGAAATAAGGCCAAGGATAGTGGTGCACACTTGTAATCCTAGCATGTGGAAGGCTGAAGCAGAAGAATCACAAGTTCAAGACTAGCCTGTGCTATATATTGAGTTCAAGTCCAGCCTGGACTGATTGTGGGACTCTTGTCTTGGAAGAGAGGAAGGGAAGGAGGAAAATACCTCAGCCATAGCCTCCTACCTGCTGCTAAATGGATGAGCCAGAATTCATAACCAGGTGGTGTACTTTTGGAGTTTATGCTTTAAGCTGCTTCAGTAAGCTATCAGAAATAGTACAGCCAGGAAGGGGAGGTTTGCTTTGTCCACTCATTTGTTGGCAGATACTTGAGTGTCTGCTGTTAGGCATGATATAAGGTCTTACAGATAAAGCTATGAAGACACACTACTCTGCTCTTCTCTGATCTCAGTTCGCATTATAGTGCCACTGTCCACACCTGGTCCTCCAGGCCACGGACCTGGCTTTCAGTTGTTTGTAATACTGGTACCTTGCATAAAGAGGTTTTTTGGTTTTTTGATGATTATAATGATAGATCATTCGGTCACTTTCCCATTCCCGTAAGGCATTCCTCTGATGTAGGATTAGGGTTTTTTCCTGTTGGCTGAGGTCCTTTCCCTGTCACTTCCATTTGAACCCTACTTGTTCACGTGTAGTGGGTATCGCCCAAATGTTTCCTGTGGAGCACTCCCCTATTTGGAGAGGTGGGATTACTACCCAGAGGAGCTCATTTCATTTCTTTTCTTTTCTTTTTTCTCTCAGTACTGTATTGGCAATTGCTGGAGAAGATTTTTCAATTGTTGCTTCTGACACTCGATTGAGCGAGGGCTTTTCCATTCACACCCGGGACAGTCCCAAATGTTATAAATTGTAAGTAAATATTTCTAGTGACACTTTTCATGTTGCCTTTGTGATGACCTAATACTATGAGAGATTCCACTTGTTAAATCATTTGATTCATGAGTTTTTATGTTGCTTCATAACATCATCTTTGCATTTTATTAGAAAAGAGCTTTCTAAGTGTTTCCTAAGAATCCAGTGTGTAGTGTCCATGAGATTTGCTGAATTTGTGTACCAGAAGTGCTTTAATAGCTAACACCCATGCGCCATGTGCTAGGTCCTCCAGTAGTATTTTACTGTATGTTAACACATTTCTTTCTACCACTCTCTCTGTTCTCTTAGTCTGTTTGGGGCTTTGTTACAGTGCCATAAACAAGATAACATGGTAACTAGAAGTATGTTGGCTCGCAGCCTTGGAGGCTAGGAAGTACAAGATTGAAGAACCAGTATCTGGTTCTGCTGGGCCTTTATGCTGTGTTACAGCATTGCAGAAGGGCAGAGAGGGCAAGAAAAGGTGAACCACTCCCACAACAATAGCATTAATCCATCATGAGGGCTCCACTCCTGTGCACCTCCCATTTCTGTCATGGTAACAACTAAATTTCAATGTGAGTTTTGAGAGGAACAAACATTCAAACCATAGCGCCATTATCCATTGAAAGTTTTTAAAATCTATGCTCTTTTTTTCTTCTGAATATTAAGTTTAGATATCAGTTACAATCCACGCCATACAGTATTAATGAGTTAGGTAGCTTTTTTCTCTAACACAGGGAAAGGAAGCCATATGCCCACATAACCTGTACGTCACCTAAATGCATCTTGCAGAGTGGTAGGATTTGTGTTTCATAGTTTCAGAGATACTGTAAGTGGCTGTTAATTCCAACATTGGTCACAAAAGCCTGATTTGGAACAGGTGTGGTATTGAGGAGGCTTGGGTCCTAAGCACTGGGTTTTTGGTGTAGTAGAAATTGATGAGGAAGGAGACAGCTCTTTTGTCCTGGTCACAGGCATGATCCATGTCTTAGCAGTGTTGATCTTTATCTTCCCAGCTCCTTTCTGCCCCTTTTTTTCCATCTTCTTTCCACCAGTGTGCTCTTTTTTTCCCTCTTCTAATAAGTAGCTTTTAGAATTTCAGATTAATAAATATTAAGAAAATTTTCACACATAACTTCATAGATTCCACTATTGTGTGAGTGTTTGCTCATCTTGGTAACATCTGTTAAATGTGTAAGCTCATGCCCTTTGTGACCTAGCTCTGCTACTTGAAACTGTGCACCCTGGCCATAGGTCACATGAGAACTCCATCCCTTAAAGCACCTGGTGTTTGGGAGGAGCATCTTGAAGTTCTAAAACTTAGCCCTTCCTTCTGTCAGTCCACCATGGCAATAAAGGTAGCAAAGCCTTGGGGGTGATAGGATGTCTTGGTTTTTGTTTTCGCGTATATGCTTATTTTTAATGGGCTGTGGATATGGGAGGTCTTTAACTCAGTGTGTCAAGGTTGGTCTCAACAAGATGGGTTTAGGTATAGATCTCAATACCTAGGGGTCAAAATTTCAGATACAGGGTTAAATCCTCAATCTGACTCCTGTTCCAAATCAGGCTTTTGTGACCAGTGTACAGGAATGTGGGCATATGGCTTCATTTTCCTGTTTTAGAGGAAAAAGCTGCCTAACTAATACTGTATGGCATGGATTATATGGATTATAATTGCTTAGGGTATATCTAAACTTGATATTCTGGAGAAAAAAATGTAGATGCATAAAAATGTAGTTAATCCCTGCTAATGGGTACATAGTGGGAGGGCAATGTGCTCACAGGTGAACCTATCTCATGTCTCTCTGCAAGCCTGTGTGACTATATGGATGGGTTTTTAGTAATGGGATTCTTGAGTGAAAGAAGTGTCGTGTCCATTTAAGTGTTTACTAGTTAGAGCTAAATTACCCATCTAAAAAATGTTAGGTCAGTTTATACTGTTTCAATATATTTGGGAGTACTTGTCTTCCTCCTCACCAGCATAACTCAGGCAATTACTGACCATTCATTAGTTGAAAGTACCTCTTGTTAGGTTGTGAGTAACATAGAGACTCTTTTCATACATTATTGGTGACTTGTGTCTGTTTTTTTCTGTCTTGTCTATTCATAAAGTGTTACCCATCTTTGTGATATATTGTTATTTACATGAGAATTCTAGTTCCTTGTTTATTTATAGGAACCCTTGGTACACTTAACGAAATTAAGATGAAAGTTTGTTCTTGTTGTTTATTCATATTTTTTTTTGTGGCAATTTTACCTTTTTGGGTAGTCAAAAGTCTGGCCCACCTGTAAGGAGTGAGACATGTGAGTATAGATCCCCTGCTCCGAAAGGGCTGACTAGTTGTCCCTTGACCATTTAGAAAATAATGGGAATAGGATTTTGAAATTAAAAGTGCCAAAGATATGTTTTATTTTATAGTCTAATCAGCTCAGTTTCCTGAAATATGCTTTTTACAGAACAGACAAAACAGTCATTGGATGCAGCGGTTTTCATGGAGACTGCCTTACCCTGACAAAGATTATTGAAGCAAGACTAAAGGTAGATGCTCTTGTTCGTGCCTATGCTGTTGAAGATTAGTAAGAAGTCCAAAGATTCTTTCACACCTACTGCATGACTGCTTAGAAAGCTGTAGATGTTCTAAATTAGCTGCCAAAACTGTGACATAGCCAAGAAATGAACTCATACCCTTGATGCAGCACCATTAAAGTCCCATAATGTAAAACAAGCACATTCTGTTTGTTAAAATCGCCAGCCCGTGTAAAAGTCTTCTTCTGAAGGTTCTCTTCCCTCCAAAACAAAACAGGCACAAAACCTCTGGCAGGAGGCAGCCCAGACTATTAGGAACTTGAGCGAATGGTCTGCTCACGCGCTGTCCCTCTGTAGGCCTTTCCACTCTTAGTTAAAAGGTCAGTATGAGCAGGAATGGGAAGAGACTACAGGCATGGGTGAGAGGCACCAGTGGTGGTCAGCTCAGGGAGGTTTGGCCTGAAGATGTCAGCAGGACTGATCGAATCTGTTTCACCTTCTGCCACTTGGCGTTACTTACTGTGGGTATTGTCATGGTCACTGAAGCGGGTAGCATTTGATTAACTGAAACTTGCTTTCTGGCTGCTTACAAAAGATTTGACTCACTAGCACCCACATCTGTAGTCCCAGTGTCAAGAAGATCTTTATTATGAGTTATCTTGGGAAGAAATTCCTCTAATCAACTTATTTATTTAGTGCAGTTCATTTGTAATCATTTGTCTATATTTTGACTGTTTTATAGTACTTTGTTTTTGGTTTATTCAGTGGGGTGATTTTTCATTTTTTGTTAATTTTACAGTACTTTTAGGCTTATTTTTGGAAATGCTTGCTATGTGATTGACAACTTGGTGAACTTAAATCCATTTTTGCGTTTGTGATTTTTGTGGAATTTCTTTGTTAGTGGAATAATAGGATTCCCATGGGATGATAAATCTAGGACTATGAAATCGCTGCATTGTTGTCCTAGGATCCTGGTTTTAGATTTGGGTATTTGTTGTTGTTGTTGTTGTAGTTTTATTTTGTTTTTTGGGTTTTTTTGTTTTTTTTTGTTTTTGTTTTTGTTTTTGCGGTACCAGGGATTGAACCCAGATCTCTGCACTGGATTCTATCCCCAGCCCTCTCTGTATAGTTTTTGAGACAGAATGTCACTAAGTTGCCTGCCCTAGGCTCAGACTTATTATCCTCCTGCTTCAGTCTCCCAGAGTGCTAGGATGACAGGCTGCAATGCCACACCGAGCCATAAGATCCTGTTTTTGATGCTTGTGTTCTCTGCTGTAGATGCTCTGAGGAACAAGACCACTACTCCAAATCAGAATCATGTAGAGTAAGGATGCTCCCTTTAGATCTTGTATTTACAGAGAGAGGAACCTACCTTGGGTCTGATGGGGGTCAACAGACTTAATGTGTCTCTATAAAGGGCTAGATAGCATTTTTAGCTTTGCGGCCTGTTTGGTCTCTGTTACAGCTACCCAGTTCTTGTGCTGTCTGGGAAAGACAGAAATATCATGTAGTGAATGAGTGTGGCTGTGCCCCAGTAAACTTTTTGCAGAAACGTGTAGTGGGCTGGGTTTGCTCAGGGACCGTATGTACCATAGTTTCTCAGTCCCTAGTCTAGGTGCACACTGAGACAGAGATGAGTTGGGAACATCTTCCCGGGACATCGCCTGTACTGTTTGGATGCATATGCTGTTGAACTAGCAGTGCCTGAGTTGAAGGTGGCATGGGAAATAGGCTTTCTCTCTCTTTCTAAACAGGCTCTTTAAACCAGAGGGTTGAGGGCACACTTAGCATTTTTCTTCTCACAGTTTTCATAAGTTATTTAATGTTGGTAGTATTGTGCTGTTTGATCATGAAAGGAATGGGCAGGTTTTCCCCTTTCGCTAAGGTAGTATTTGCTCTGTATGCTGCTCATCTTGCTGGACTGTAATGAATCCTGCCTCCGTGTCCCTGTTATATTTATCATGCAGATGTACAAGCATTCCAATAATAAGGCCATGACAACAGGAGCAATTGCTGCGATGCTGTCTACAATCCTATACTCCAGGCGCTTCTTTCCATACTACGTTTACAACATCATCGGGGGACTCGATGAAGAAGGTAGAGTTGTGCTTTCTTTTCCCAGGTGGAGGGAGCAGCATTTCTAGATGTGTACATTTCCATCTGGCATCCAAAACAACTGTAAACACCATCTCTAGCCCAGCAGTTTCACCTTGTGATAATGGAAGTGAGGAGACTGCAGCAGGAGGGAGTAAGGGATACCCAGAAGCACAGGGTGTGTGCTGTTCATGCATGTGGAAGGGCCGGTTCTCTTACAGTTTCTCAGGCCTTTGACCGCATCAGTACTAATGATTAGCATTTTTACCTGACCTAGAGAAGTTTGACTTAAATGTAGTTTAAAGTGACAAGTAAACACATTTGGCTCAAAAACTTTTTGAAAAATGATGTGTTAGAAGCATTGAGGTAATTAAATACTTGCTCTTACCCTGCTGTTCCCAGAATCCATTTGAAATAGCTGTGTGAGCATAAGATAGGGGCATCTGTGAGAATCGGTCTGTAACCATGATGTTTTTGATCCAAATCTACATTACCCCATATGGGCACTCACATTTTCCACCAGTTCTGCTGTGGTCTTCCAGGCTAGATCCATGTCACCATGTAGAAAAGTCTGCTGGGATAAGAAGTTATAGAAACATCTGGATAAAAATACAATGGGGGAGTCTATCTCTTTTTTTTTTTTATTTGGCCAGATCTGTAGCTGGAGTTGCCCCAAAATGACACAATTCCTTCAGGGGGCTGCCCCAAACCTAGTTGAGATTCCCAAGACAGAAGCACCAAACATCAGGGTGATCGGCCCAAAGCATTTGTTAGAGGATTGTACCTGCTGTAGCTGTCCCCTAGATGGGCAGCAGGCAAGATGTCTTCCACCCAGCTGGGGCTGCCACAAGGGAGCCCAGTTAAGAGCTCAGAGGGGCAAGGGATTTGGTTCAGGCAGGGACTAGTTTTTAGTGGCTTAGCAGCAACCCCAGCTTGTGTTCCCCATGCAGCAGGCCTGATCCCAGCAGTCAGTACACCTTGTTCCAGACTCTGATGGCAGGCAGAGGTGCCCCTGGCACCCTGTTATCTTGGAGGGGAAATCCTGAGAAGGAAAGAGTTGCGCTCTTCTCTGCTCCCTGCTTGTTTTTAGGTTGGTACTCCTGACCCTTTCTGTAACAAGAGTTTGTTTTTCTCCCTCTCCTTTTTTGACTCTTTTTTTTTTTGTACCAGGAATTGAACTTGGGTCCTTGCGCTTGCAAAGCAGGCCACCGAACTGCTGAGCTAAATCCCCGGCTCTCTTTTTTGACTCTTAATGGTACTTCAGAAAACAATCTGGTCAGTTTATTTTTCAGAGGTTAGGCATAGACAAGTTGCCACATTTCTCTTTAATGCTTTTCACCTTGCTTGGAACATAAAAGGAAATGGCTGGGTGACTCAGTCCTGGCCTCTGATCATCTGGCCTGGTGTACCATGCTGGACACTTCCAGGGGCCTAGTGCTTAGGTTCTATCTGGCTTGTGGTCGGGTTAATTGTTTGAGATTTGTACTTCCATGGGCCAGACAATGTCTTCTGAGTTTTTGTGAGGGTCAAAGAGAACCTGGGAAAGCTGAGGTCCACTGGATAACAGATCCAAGACATGGGATCAGTTCTGTTTGACGTCAGAACCTTTGGCTTCTGTGACAGTGCCCTTGGTGTGGGTGTACTTCTCAGGTTTCTCTGGCTTCCTTTCATTGTTTTTTACATTCATTTTTATTTACGTGTAAAACCATCTGTTGCCCAAGGAACATTTTCAGCTCTTTCCCTGTGTATTTTCTGGTACTTTTATCTTCCACATACTGAACTTAATGCTGTCGAGGTATTGTCCTCTAGTGTGTGATTCTGACAGATGACGGTCTTGGCAATATTTTGGTTCTGTCCTGGAGAGAAGGATCGTGGCTTGTCCGTGCTGTCTGTCTCATTAGCACCCTACCATAACACATTGGACGTGTGAGAAAATACATACCTAATGTTCTAAAATATTCGTCTTTGTCATGCTAGGTGAAATGCTGTGATTATGGTTCACCCCTTAGACTCCGATTTGGCTCTCTTACAGTTAACTGTCTCACGTGTTGGCTTGGGTTTCTTACAGTCCCCCAACAACCTGCCCCCGGTGATACTTTCCAGCATGTTCTCAGCCCTCTCCCTGGGGATCCCTTGCCTGCTCTTGACCCTGTGACCGTGTTGCATGGATCCCATGCTTCTTAATGGTTTCCTTCTTTATTGTAGCGATGTACATGTCCTAAATAGTTTCAGAAAAACAAGAACAGGAGACCTCTTTTGAGACTTTGCTTTAAACCCTTCAGTCATGTCTAACAGTTTACAGTGGCTCCTGGCCTGGCAAACTGTTTCTCCTCCTCCTCTCTTTCCTCCTGTACCCTTTCTCTTCCTCCCTTGCCCCTCTCTGTCCCTTCTCCACTGTCACAGCGATCAATACTCCATAATAGTATTTTCTTACGTCCATCTCTTTGTTTTTTCATTCTACTTTTTGCAGATTTCTTCACCTTTATAGCCTTTCATTCTTACTGCTTTTATGTCTAGTGTCTATAATTTCCAAGAGCTTTTTCTTTCCAGCTTTTTTTTTTAATTATCCTGATTTGGTTACTTAATTTAATTACTTAATTTGAAGGGTTTTGTTGTTCTTTACATTTCATTAGATGACTTTTTAAAATTTTATTTTCCTCACCTTCTGTGTTGGAGGTATGCTTGAAATTTCTGTGGATGTTTGGCTGCCTACCTTGAAGAATGATAGAACAGAGTTTGGTTATAAAGGAGTGGGCTGCTGTGCCTGGCCCACTGACAGGCTCCAGGTGGCTGCTGCTTCCTTCAAACGAAGGTCCTGTCCGTCTGTAGCCCAGCTCGGGTGGGATGTGAGAGGAAGCCTACTGTCGACCTTTAGACCGAAGAGAAGGCAGTGGTCTCTGCCCTGGTCGTGTCTGCTTTCTGTCTCACACCTCTCTTTTCACTCCTTCCCTGACCTCAGTCCACTCTGGGCCTGGTGCCCCGAGTCCAGAGCCTCTGCTGATGTCTCCCAAGACTGTTTTCATTGTATAGCAGGGGGACCCGGAAGCCAGTGCTCCTTGTTGAAACCTTCAAGACATGGGTCCGACCATTGTCCTTCAGTGTCAACACCTTCCATTTCAGCCTCTGTGGCTTTGATCTTAGTTACTGTTGGACTTTAAAAATTTTTTTTCCCAAAATTAAAAGTGGATTTGGTTTTTCTGCAGTGAGAATAAACACATGCTTATGTACATGCTTAGAGTTTTACATAAGGAGAACTATAGTACAGGCTGGGCATCCGTAATCTGAAACCTAAAATGACTTACACCTCCAAAGTCTGAGCACCACCCTGCCACTAGAACTAGAAAGATCCACACTGAAATTTTGTTTCATCCACAGAAGTACTTATTGTATAAAATTACCTTCCCGTTGTGTGTATAAGGCGTAAATAAAACTCCCCAGAAAACACTTGTGATCCCAAGCATTTTGGATAAGAGATGCAGTACTCATCCTCTGTGTACATACTCTGTGTACATCAGATCACTGATACTCTATTATAGAGATAGTTTTAAACTAATGAATCTAGATACACTAGGGATTGAACCCAGGGACTTCATATTGGGCTGCATCCCTGGCTTTTTTATTCTTTAAAGACCTTTCTAAATTTGCCTAGGCTGCACTTCAACTTGCAGTCCTTCTGCCTCAGCCTCCCACAGCGTTATGATAGTAGGCAGCGTGCATGATTTTTAATGGCTGGCTTAAACTGTGTGGCTGTGTTATAAGGTGCCTAACCAGTCTTCGGAAGGTGTTTGTCCCAAAACACATGATGAACATCCTTTTACATACTCCTTTGTGTACTTCTGTAATTACACTTTCCTTCTTGGAGAAGATTCCTATTCGTTGAATTATCAGATTAGAAGTTTGGGTTTGTTTTTTGTTTTGTTTTGTTTTGTTTTGTTTTCTGGTACCGGAGATCGAACTCAGGACCATGTGCCTGTCTGCATAGCACGGTTCGGTGCAGCACCATTGAGCTACATCCCTGGCCCTTGGTGATTTGTTTGTTTGTTTGTTTTGTGTTCTCAGTTCTGGCCACATCTCTAGAAGGATGTACCAATAGTCCTCTACCTGCAGGAGGCTTGAGAATATATATTTTGGGGACATCTTTTTATGTTTATTGACCTTTTGTATTTCTTCTTTAGAGAATGACCAATGTATTCACTCTGGTCCATTTCCTTGTTTGCAGATTAGTCTCCTGCATTGATCTGCAAGGACTCCACACAGTTGTGTCACCCTTGGTCATGACTATGGTGAATTCCACCAGCCATATTTTTTGCCTTCTATGGGAGGACTTTCTTTTGCTGCATAGACTGGCCTGAGTAACTCGCAGTCTGATATGTTAGTCTCAGGAATTTCCAGTCTTGATAGAAAGCTTCCCTGTGCAAAGTTTATCGCTTCTCTCAAAGACAGCTGACTTTATCTTTCATAACAAAATTATTGTGCTTTTGGAATTTATTTTGATGATAAAAAGGCTTTGCAGTCAAGGTTTATGCCGTTTGACAATTCCAAGTGTCTCTTACTTTTACTCGGCCATTGAAGCTCTGGTCTTGAGCATATCTCACTGTCTGTCTGTCCTGTGTGGTTTTCTGAGATTGAGTCCATCCTCTTGGGGAAAGCTTTTGAACTCATCTTTCTTTTGGTTGCTCACATCGTAGAAGATATATTCTCTCTTGCTGGTGTACCTCATCTCCATTCTTCGTATATTAAGATTTGTGAACTGCCCACTGCTCTCCCTTATCCCAGATTTGCCTCCAGCATAAACATTTCATAAGATTTTCTTAGGTAGCCTTGCGTCATCTTTCCCAGCAGGGAATTTAGTCCACAGCTTTCTGCAGTGAAAACATAGAAAATGGTGGGTAGGGTAGATAGATGATAAGAACATTGTTCCTGTCTCTTTGTCTGCCAAGGTAACTGCCTGAGCATTGCTACAGAATGCTTAAGTCCATCCTTGTGAGTGACCTTTCTTTCTTGTACCCACAACAAAACTGTGTTTTAAAAAAGCCTTTTCTAAAATTACCAGTTGACATGTTCTTTGTAACCAGTTCAGACAATATGGGAGCATGTGAAAGTGATTCCTTCTTTTTCTTGAGTAACACAGTCTACACTTAAAAGTCCTACACTAAAAAATATCGTACTGAAGTTAGTTTCTTTACAGACTCTCATGTGCTTATGTAAATATACACAGTTCTATGCTCTTAAAAAATAGGGATCATACAGTGCATACTACATAGCTCTCCACTATGCCTTGTCTTGTGGCTATATCCCCCAGTTCTGTCATGAACATGACTTCCCCTTCCAAGGCTGCCACATAAGTTGTTGGTGCACAATGAACACCTGAGCAGCAACTTCAGTGTATCAGAAATTACCTGAGTAGTCTGAGTGCATTAACTCATTGTCCTCTCAGTGGGTTTTACATTGTTACCCTGTTTTGGTTTTTGTTATTTGTTTTTTGAGACAAGGTCTCACTATGTAGTTGAGACTGACCTGGAACTCACTGTGTAGCCCAGGCTGGTCTTGAACTCACAGCGATCCTCCTGCCTCAGCCTCCCGAGTGCTGGGATTACAAGCATGCACAACCACGCTTGGCTTATTAACCTGTTTTACAGCTGGAACTAGCAGCCTGGTCAGGCTGGAGGCTGAACTTGCACTTGAGCAGTCTGGTTCCTGGGTTTGCTCTCTTCCCCTTTTAACACTGCTGTGCTGTGTGTTGCGTGTCTGTGCCACTTGCCTACTAATGAAGTTTAGGTTGTTTGTAACTTTTGTTCTTTTAAGTAATACAGACTATCTTCCTTGCTTAGCAAGTTTTGGTGTGTGTTTACAGCAGCACTTTTTAGTGAAATGCAGTTCTTAAAGATTTTTGCTGAGTCACCGGGGTACTTTTCTGCTGGACAGTTGTTGCTTTGAAAGGCATAATTTGCACTTTTTTCGCTTGCATCTGTGTGACCTTTTCCCCAGCCACTCATAGGTCTTCTACTGTTGTATAAAGGAGTGAATAGATCTTAGTTGTTTGTTTTAAACAATAAGGCTCTTCTTTATCCTTCTAGCACAGAAGCAAATTGTTACATTTTAGGCCGACTTAATATTTTATATGTTACATTTGTATTTTCCTAAAGTTATTTCTTTATTAAATACCAGTTTTTACATTATGATATCAAGTAATGTCCCTACTGTTAAACACTCACAGTAAGTTTTCATGTGATTGCTTACACATTTAGCACTGGGAAATTCTTAAACTGTTGGGTTCATTTTCAGGAAATACCATAAAGCGATTGATCAGAAGTTAGGGTTAGGTTAGAGTCAAAGTAGACCCATGACGGTTGGCCAGTGTGTCTAAAGCCACCTTCACACTGGGGGCCGTAGGACCATCCTCGACATTAACTTCAGGAGGCCAGTTGGCTCTGGCACCTGTGCCTCCAGCTGTGGTCGTGTCCTCTGGCTGTATTGCCTGAGGAGCCAGGACATTACAGGCATCACCTGCACAGTGCAAAGATGTGCCCTGCTTGTTCACTTGAAGCTGAGCCAAATTGACATGCATTTTGTGTCACATGATGACGGGTTGTTTTTCCTGTAGTTTGGGTGGTGGTCAGGATGTCATCCTTACACAGATTGTTTTCTTCCTGAAGGGAAGGGAGCTGTGTACAGCTTCGATCCAGTGGGCTCCTACCAGAGAGACTCCTTCAAGGCTGGAGGCTCAGCAAGTGCCATGCTGCAGCCCTTGCTTGACAACCAGGTAATGAGCTGGGGCCTGGCTGCAGTGCTTCCCCTCCTCTCCTCCTGCTGCTGAGTTTGGCGGGTCAGACCTACTCAAAGCGCCCACCTGCTCCCTTGCCTTTGACTTTTGCCTGTATTACTCTGGCTTCTAGGTATCTTACCTCTCTAGTGGGGCCCTGTTTTCAGTCTTACAGTGACACATTACCTGAGGTTGTGAAAATACCTCTCTCCCCTATTCACCATTTCTGAGTTACTTAACTTTGTGTTCTTATTTTCAAGTATATTCAGAGCTGCATTGTTGGACTTATTTCCCAGCATCCTTTCTGCCTCCACACCCAAGTCCTTAACTCATCCTGCCCACTCTTGTGAAGTATGAATTGTGTGGCTTCCTCTCTGTTGCTTGTCTGTCTTTTCTGTCTTGTCTGTCACCTCCCCTCCACGCACACATGCAGGCCACTTTTCCCTGAACTGAAATGATGTACTCCTCCTCCTGTCTCACCCCTCACCCTCAGGTGAGATCATTTGATGCTCTGCCCCTCTGTTTTATCCTTCGTGCTCACCTACCACCGTATAACCTAGTTTGGGACTGTCTTGGCCTGTTTTCTCCTCAGTTATGACACTTTTTTGTCTAATGTTGCGCTTACTCTCATGTTACCTAGCTTGATGTGTGCTGCTCAGTGGTGTTTGCAGATTTCTGGTGAGTGTGATTCAGCCAGGACTGCAGGACATTCAGATGTAGTGTGATGTATTTACTGAGTGTGCTTGGACAAGAGCAAGTGTTGGGGGAGGCTGAAACCTTCCTTTGGTCTCACTGAGCTGTGATGCCTCACACATACCTACTGTCCCTCCAGGTTGGTTTCAAGAACATGCAGAACGTGGAACATGTTCCACTCTCTTTGGACAGAGCCATGCGGCTGGTGAAAGATGTCTTCATTTCTGCAGCTGAGAGGGATGTATACACCGGGGATGCCCTCAGGATCTGCATTGTGACCAAAGAGGGCATCAAAGAGGAGACTGTTCCCCTGAGGAAGGACTGATCTGTGGGCTGTACCTTGGAGTGTCAAGCGAGTTGGTTTGATTAAAAAAGAAAAGTGAATTACTCCTTTCATTATAGTCTCCTCTGTTTCTGTTCTTCAGGGGTATTTTTCTATTTTAACTATGAAAACATAGGTCATGTCAGTTTTTCCTCACATTTGTAAGCAAGGAGTTAATCTGGAAAAGCTGGCCTTTTTCTGAGAAGAGGGCTCTTGATATTTATCCTACCAGCCTATCTGAAGTGACTGCTAAACCACCCAGAAGGCACAGTGCTTATCATTGTTTAGGAATTTAATGCACACAAATACTCTATGTTAGAGAAAATTCCTCAACTAGAGTAAAAGAAACTTGCAAAAATAAATAGCTCTTTAGATGGACTTTAGCCAGAAATCTGAGATAATTTTTTTAAGCACTTCAATGTTGCAGCTGAGACCTAGGACTGTGGTGAGGCTGGGTGTAGCTCGTTTAGTACACATGATGCCCTGGGGTTTGATCCGAAGCACTGCAAAAAGAAAAAGACCAAAGTTTTGAGAAAGCTAAAGGATTTTTTGGTTGGTCTGTTCAGAAATATTTAATGTGTATTAATTTCTTGATAATTTTGAGTGCTGAACAGGTCACTGTGCCACATAACGTCGATTGGTGATGGCAGACCTTTTAGAGACCGAGTGCCCAAACTGCAACCCAAAACCCACTTATGTATCACAAAGTGCCAGCTGCGGTTAAACTGAACACTGAAGTTTTATGTTAGATTAGGAAAACAACTATTAAGCAGTGCTCCGCCGCTGAAGCAACTTGGCTGGGTGCCAGTGGACAGCTGGCCTGGCACGCGTGCCATAGGTTTGCCACCACTGACTTAGTGCTGGGGCTTGCTTACTAGCAGAATAACCTGTGGTGTAATGGGAGTTTGTGATTAATCCTAGAAATCCCTTTTGTTTACTTTGCCTCTTACTAAAAAATTTAGTTCGGAAAAAGTTCAGATAGATAACATATTTAAAATTCTGCCAGGGCCAAGGATTTAGCTTAGTGGTTCTGCCTGCCTTGCAAGTATAAGGTCCTGAGTTTGATCCCCTGTACCCAAAAAAAAGCAATATTGTTGGGGCTGGGGGTTTAGCTCAGTGGTTTCGCCACCTGCTTCACAAGCACAAGGACCCGAGTTCAATACCCAGTACCAAAAAAATAAAATTCTGCCAACAGTTTTGTCTGTGTCTGTCGTAAACACTGGGGTATAACTGAAATCTTGTTCATTTTACACTGTCTATTCAGGCTCTCCAAGGAGAACCAATAAGATGTAGGCAGGAATCGGTATGAGAGAGGATTTACTAGAGGAGTGGGCACTCCTGATGGTAGAGGCTGAGGGCCCCTTACCACGCTGTCTCCAGGCTGGAGACTGGAAAGCTGAGTGTGGCCCATTCCCAATCTGAAGGCTGAGGACAAAGCTGTGGCTTGGGGAGGTCATAGACCAGGGAGCCTAGATTCTGATGTGCAAGAACCCTTCTGATAATCTCTCTGCAAGGTAGCGGATTCCCCTTGCCTCTGCCTTTTTGCTTATCTGGGCTTATCAAGGGCACATCCTCCCCACCCAGCCCACTACCTCGGAGCCAGTCTGCTGGATAAATTCCCTCATATACATACATACCCGTAGACAGTGCTTTACCAGCCATCTAGAGACCTTTTAAACTGTTCAGATTTGCACCTGAAAACCACAGTACCAACTCGAAGCAGGACTCAAAATGTATGTTTTCCATCTTTGTAAAAACTAGGTACCTTTTCCAAAGGGTTTCTGCTGATTTAGGCGTTCTGTATTTCACTAGTTTAAATTACATAAATATATGTGTGTCTAGGAGTTTCAGGTATCCCCTGAGACTGCCAGGGAAGTTATACAAATTAGTGACTGATGATATCTTTTTCCCCTCTTTAGCTACAGATGATTTTACCCTAGCATTCCTGTAGCCGTTGGAAGTGGTATTGCTGGAGAGCAGAGTGTTGGTGTGTGGCTCTTAGAGCTCATCAGCCAGCAACTATTCGGGGAGCATTTACCACAATTCCTTGCCTGCGAAAGGCAAAAGGGTGGAAGTAAAATTTACTTTTATAGTTAGCCTTCAAGATTCTGCTAAGAAAGCTGCTGTTATGTACAGGCTCCTGCCTGCCTGCCTGCCTATCAAAGAATAAAATGAATAGAGCAAATCTGGCAGAACTTTCACCTAATTTTTGGAGATGCAAGCCATCTACACAGTTTGAATTTGGATGCATGTTGATGTTTGTCCTGTGATTGTCAAACAGCACAGATAATTGCCTGCAGTCTGCTCGGGAAGGATGTGCCCTCTCCAAGCCTGTGATGACCTTAAAGTGCTGCTGCCGCACTCCGTCTTTCCCATAAGCACAGTCCTGCTCTGCAGAGTAAATTGCAACCCACACATTCTGTGTGACAATCTAGGAAAATGGTCTTTGTTACCAGATGTCTGTTACTCCCTGATAGGTTTTCTTTTCTGCTGCTCCTGGGTTTTTTTTTTTGTTTGTTTGTTTTTTTGGTTTGTTTTTTTTTTGTGACAGGGTCTCACTATGTAGTTGAGACTGACCTGTAATTCACTGTGTAGTCCAGGCAGGTCTTGAACTCATAGCCTCCCGGGTGCTGGGATTACAGGCATGCACCACCATGCTCAGCCTTAGGTGAGTCCTTCATGACCCAACAGTATGTACACTAACAAGCTTTCTTCCCTGGAGACACCATTCGCTAAACTTAAATCGGTGCTGTAGAGAACTTTCTCAGCAACAACTTGACCTACCTAAGACTGCTTTCCCAGGATCTGGATTAGCGGATTTTAAAGGAAAACCCAGGTGATGATTGGGCATGGGTATACAATTTGAGAACTAGCTCCTAAGTGGACAGGTTCAGCAAGACATAAGGGACTGACCTGAGCTTGAACTCAGTGGTAAATTGTCTCCAGAACTGTGAGAAGGTAGGGAACAGTAGAAGCAGGTGAATCTCCACAAGCTGTTATTCCTTAGGTGCTGGGGCAGGAAGGCGCACCACAGGCTGTCAGGACGGGTCTTGGTGTGGAGTGTGGGGTCACTGAGGATAGAGTGTGTGGTTTCTGGAGTGTGGAATGATGGTTCCAGGGTCGCATGGGGTGTGGCGTCAGTGGTGTGGATAGTTCCATTAGTGTGGGTTCAGGTGTGGAGTGTCTAGTTGGATGGAATGTAGGTTATTTGTGTGGGATTTGTGTCACTGTGTAGGAATGTGGAGTCGTGTTGTGTAGTGTGGCACCAGTGGTATGAAGAGTGGGGACAGTGTTGCAAGTTGTGAGTTTGAAGTGGAGGTCAGTGTTGAGGTGTGTGCATCAGTGGTGTGGCGGAGTGAGGGTCAGCACTGTGGCTGGAGTGGGTCAGTGGCATTGAGTGGTGTGGGGTGTGAGTTCAGCGGTGTAGAGGTTTCACGTCAGTGTGGACTTTAGAGTCAGTCATGTGAAGTGTGGGGCAGTGATAGAATATTAGTCCTAGAGTATAAAGTGAGTCCAGTGGGTCTAGAGGTGTGGAGTGTGATGGTCAGTTTTGTGGATGGTGGGTTCACTCAGTGTGTTAGGGCTCAGAGGAATAACATTTGCTATATGAATAGGATATACAGGGTAGGCTTATAATGGAAGGATGCAGAAGTGCTGTCTGTGAGCTACGTGGAGGTCTGAACCATTCTGAAGTTCACCAGAGAGAAGGCTAATAAAGAGTCAGCCTTCCAAAGCTGGGAGGCTGAAGGCTCTGCGCTGGAAGCGAAGGTGAAGACTGAAGTCCTCTGAAGAAAATGAAGCAAAGTGAGATGTGTACTTTCTGCCCCCTTTCTGTTCCACTCAGGCTGCAAGCCTATTGGCCAGTACCCTTCACACCCAGAATGAGTCTTCTGTCTTCTGTAAATCCCGTTAGCCACACTCAGAGCTGTGCTAATCCAGTTGGTTGGGCACTTCTTGCTCAACTTTGACAAGGTTAACTATCATAATCCACCCCTTGTCAACTTGACAAGCAGACACATTTCCCTAAACAGCACTTGGTCTTCAGATACAAAGACAATTATACTTAACCTGTCCTGCGTGCAAATGGAAGTGTACTCATTCCCTCCCCAGAAGAGAAGGAAAGTTTTCTTCAGGTGATGGTTACTCCTAACATTTCATAACTTGAACATTATAATGTACATCAAGCAATACTTAAGAGCCTATATTAAGTCTGTCAACATATTACATAGAAGCATTAGGAGAGAACTTGTAGCATCTTCATTTTTGTAGCCAATCACTGGGTCATAGCTGGTATTTAGAACTATCGTACCTTCTACCCATTCTGTATTCCTTTGGCCTTTGGCAAGCACATCAGCAGGTCTTGGTTCTTTGCCTGTTGGAGTGACCCATCCCTTCATTCCTGAAAGTCCTAGGCCATTTGTCATCCTGTCTGGATTGGGTTGTTGTAGTTTCCCATTGACTTTAATAATGGCCTGGAAATACTAGGAAGCACCCTAAGGGATCTCCTGCACTCCAGATAAAGGCTTTCCTTCCTCCATTGTGGAGTGATAGTCCGGTTTCCCCATGGTAGCCTGGGTCAGTCATCCCTGCCAACACTGTAACTCCCTTGTTAGCTTGTTTACTCAGGGATGAGACCACAAAGAGCAGAGGGAAGTCTTAGCTTCCAGTTCAGTGAAATCATTGTGTTTCTTGGGACAAGCCTTCCCCACTCTGGAACTAAGACTTCTAGGCCAGCAGACCATAAGGTTGCGGGAACAGGAAGCAAAAATTTTGCTAGTCGATCTCTAGCGGTAAGGTGAGTGGTACCATTCCTACTTTGACCCCTTGATGGATGAACCCATAGATCTGACTGTGAGAGATGAGGTACCAGGTAGTAGATGCTGACTCAAAGCATATACAGTCTTTTGAAGAACCTAGCCCCAGCCCCGCAAGCGATTGCCCTTCACCTGGCTTTGTCCCCATGGCCACTATTTATGAGCCCATTGGGCAATGGCAGGGGTGGCTGGAGAAAGAAGTTGGCCACTGTCTACACAATGGATGATCCTATCTGCTTGATTATTAAAGT